TTTGCGATCCTGGGACTCCATCACGGTTACCTGTGCTGATGAGCTCTGCGTGGTCACCTGTGCTCTCCACGCTGAGCAAACAGGAAATGAAATTCAAACGTTCGCGGGGCTTTTCCTGTCTACCTGGTCAGTGCATCTGAGTTGAGAGTGCTGTCCAGAACGGTCACAATGAAGCACTGTGGGATAGCTCCCGGAGGCCAATAGCGTCGAATTCCGTCCACACTACCCCAATTCCGACCTGCTAAGGCCGATTTTATCGCTAATCCCCTCGTCGGAGGTGGAGTAAAGAAACCGGTTTAAAGGGCCCTTTAAGTCGAAAGAAAGGGCTTCGTCGTGTGAACGTATCCAGGCTTAATTCGATTTAACGCTGCTAAAGTCGACCTAAACTCGTAGTGTAGACCAGGCCATTGGTGACCCCTTTCACTAAGCAAGCCTCTGAGTGCGACCCCCCTTATTATTATAAATGCTGGAGGCAAAGTGGGGCTTGGAGGTGGAGGCTGACAGCTCCCGACCCCCACGTAATCACCTCACGACCCCCAGTTTGAGAACCCCTGTTCTTGTGTGATTTAAGGCCTGCATTAACTAAAGTAGCTAACATAGTAACTCTCCCCCCCCGCCCCAAAGTGAGTCATTTTGTTCCTGGCCTTGTTTTCTGTGTTGTGTTGTTTTTTATGACACCTCCAGGCAATGTGAAGTCCTCCTTTCCTTATCATATTAAAAACAATATTTGTAAGAGAAGCTCTAGAAATGGTTTGCCTCATTGGGTGTGACACTCTTTTTTCCCCAAATAGTTGCTGCTAAAATACTGCAAAATGATGACAGATTTGAAATGTGATGGAATTTGAGCAAAATTTCATGATCCATTTTAGTGTCTAAACATTTTGTTAAGAGGTTGCGCACAGCTGTGATGGAAAACAATGTAAATGTATTTTGCTGAGAAGCTGTTTTTTCAGAATTCATCCATCATATTCAAAAGCATTGTTCAGCATGCGACACACACACAAAAAAACCCGAAGAATGTTCCCTCCCACCCCAATTGAAGTTGTTTGTGAGATTGCAGAGTGCAATGCAAAGCTTCTGAAACCGGAGAACTGCCAGTCTGCCCCTCTTTTTGATGAAAACCAGCCAAACCAATTTTAACTAAAGTGTGTGAAATAATTTTCTCCAGGACAGGAATATTATAAACCAAGCTTCAGCCTGCAGTGAAGTTTTTACAGCTGAGTTAGAATGCCCTAGAAGTTGGGGGTTTATGATTAAAACACTGATGGGGCCTTAAATATAGTGATCCAAATGGGCGCCATTATTTTCAAATCCCCTCTTTCAGGTTCTGAACTTTTAAAATAACAAAATACTCAACAGGAGGGCAGCGTGTTGCTTAATGATGCACATTCACTAGGCTAACAGTTCTGTAACAAGATTTCAACCAGCTACCGGCTTCTCTACTGCCTTGCACCTTGTGCAGCCATTTACACCGAGGAAAGTGCATGTAAAATGCTCCCAATTCGAATTCACACGCTGGTAGTGTCCTGCATATGCTTTTGCATGGCTGTTACAGACTAGACAGGGTGTAACTGGAATTTGTCTGCCCACCTGTGTTTAAAACGCATAGCCTTGAGAAAAGTGCTATGAGATCTTTAATTTATTTATCATGTGTATAGTCATCTAGCCAAGTGATGGCATCTTCAGTGGCATGATACAGTTCTTCTAGGCCTCCGCTGAACCTAGTCAGCAGGCATTCATCGACAATGTGCGTCATCATCTGTGTTGCATCATAGCTGCACAAAGGGCTGTCACAAAGGCCCCAGCGATACTGGTTGGCTGCACAGAGAACTTGCCTGGTCTGGAACCTGTTCAACAGGGACCATTGGCGACAGGACAGGTCAAAACCAGGCGGGCAAATTGTAGGGTTGGCAATGAGGGACTGGTTGGGGATTATAACAGATATCCATTCCTCTCGCCAGAGTGTTTCTGCCCTAACATCCTGGCGTGGTGGATGAGACCATAATGGGCGACGTGACAGCAAACGTGCAGCTGGTGGTTTAAAAAGGTCATTGGCAGCGGCAGGCTTGAGTTGGCACGTACTTTCTCCAGTAACTTGCCAGTGGCAACCTCTCGTCTGATATGAGGAAGAGCAATATTGCTCAGAACTGGGAGCCATGGGAGTGGAGTCAGATGCAAGGTGCTGGAGATGATACTGATCACAAGTTGTCAGAATCTTGATTTTACTCCTCACTCAAAAGATGGATAACACCAGTGAATAGAAAAGTATTTAAACCTTTTGATTGCAATATGGTGAATGATCCAATGGACATCATTTCTTCATTAATTAATGAGTTAATGTCCACTGGAAGCTAGTCCTGTTATGCTACTGGGACTGGCAAACTCTCTAATAACACTGATAGGTACTTGAGTGATGCATCACACAAATGTTACAGAGTAATAGCTGTTAATATCGATCAAGGACTGCAGAAAAAGCAACACCTTTACTCAACCATCAGCTATATATTTTGGCAACCATAATAGCTTTAATTACTGTTTTACTCTCATAAGACATAACTTTAGCCTGCAGCAAGTACTGTACTTCTAGTATTGAAGGGTAGATGAGACAATTCCCCCCCGCCCCGAAGACTCATAAATGAATGTTTGCCTGTTGGAGGGAGTCTTGGATGAAAGGCAGGATTCACTGAATGAATGCGACAGAATATAAAGAGAAAGTTTTAAATTCTGCCACTGGCTTTGGGCACAGATCCCATTGACTTTTATGGGGGCTAGGTACACTCATCTAGGGGGAGAATGGAGCCATGCAGAATACTAATTAAGGGGGTATTTTTATTTGAATTCTTTCATTTGCCTTTATGCTGTACATTCAGTTGTTGGGATCCCATGTGATTCAGTAACAGTTTCACACCTTTATTGATGTTCCTCTTTAAATGTCTCCATTTGCTATTAAAATGTCATCTTCTCTGGCAGCTATAGCTGGTTTTACATGCTGTATAACTATTACTGCACTGCCCTGATACTGCTACAGTTAAAGGTCTTTCAGTCCTTCCATTCATTCAAAAGTCTGCAAATAAATGGATTACAGATTAAATTGCATATATACATTTTCAGTTTAAGAAGACTCTTGTATTGTATGTCAAAATTTGAATACAGTTGTCTTTGATCATTTATTATTTGGTGAAGAATAAAACATAGATTACTTTTGTTTTAAAATTGTAGTGGTTGTAGATGTATCATCTGGTTTGAGAGTCCTTCCACACTGTATAGGTGACTCTGGGATATGCTGTGGAATTTCCAAAGAGTTCCCATGTACTTTCTTTGGTAGAGCTCGGGGGTGGGGGTAGAACTTATGGAGCGGGAGCTTCAGTTTGATTTAAGACAGAAAAGGCTGGTGTTTTACATTCAGCTTCGAAAACAAATTCTAGTGATGGGAATTGGAGCGCAGTGTATCCTATTACCTTGATAGAATCCCACTGAGGCAGAAATACCCTAAGGAAGGTCTGGTGGAGGGCTGAGTAATTGCTGATAGGTCCAGGGTCTTGAGGTTACAAATATTTATCCATGTCTGAGAACTGAGGAAATTATCTTCTTAGTTAACTCTAAATTTAAGGCGTTAGTTCTGCCACCCTTACTTGCATTGAGTAATAACTTTTTCTTGACCTGTTATGTTGTGTGTGTCCATGTAGGTAAGTTAGGGACTATGCAGAGCTGCTACTCCCCATCCCACACTGGTGGGTGGCCAGCTAAGCAACAGCTCCACCCCATAATATGTGAGGCAATTTTTCTGCCAGTATACTGAGGACCTATTCAGTGATATGGCTCGTGCAAAGTACATCCACCTGGAGTGTGTTTGTGTGGAACTCTGAGACAAATTGAGATTTTTTTGAGTCACAGTCTGGTTTCCAGGATGCTCTTGGGGCATTCTATCAATACACTTCCCCATACACAAGGTTTTGATAAAACCATGATACATTGAAATCAATGGGACTTTGTACAGTAAGATACTACTCCGCATGGATAAGAGTAGCAGAAACAGGCTCTAACCTTGCATAAATACCTATTTGCAATTATCCAGGGTTTTTTTGTTTACATTGTTTCTATAATTTGTACATGCTGGTGTAACTCCATTTCTGATGTGTTAGGTTAACTAGTAGATGAGCTGCTTGTAAGCGAAGTTGAAATGGGCAACCTCTAGTGCAATTAGTTCTGCCTTTGCGACATGCTACATTAAAGAAAAAGGCTCAGGGACAAACCAAGAAGAAACACTTTGGAGATGCCAACAGTAGAGGGCTGTAGTAGCATAAAAACAATTAAAAAAAAAAACCCTCAAAAACAGTGTTACAGTGGGGTACAGAGAGTCATAACTGGTTTCACATAGGCTAACAGGACATACTACTCAGGATCACTTTTATTGAAAGATACATTAACATAACTGTCTGACTATCTGATTTCACTAAAACTTCTTGAACGATGTTACCACAGTCCAGGGGTGGCCAACCTGAGCCTGAGAAGGAGGCAGAATTTACCATTGAATAGTGCCAAAGAGCCATAGTAATATGTCAGCAGCCCCCCATCCACTACTCCCCTCCAGTGCCTCCTGCCCACCGGCAGCCCTGCCAATCAGCACCTTCCACTCCCTCCCCACACCTCCCACCCGCTGCAATCAGCTGTTTTGCAGTGTGCAGGAGGCTCTGGGGGGGAGGGGGGAGGACCGAGGGCATGGCAGGCTCAGGGGAAGGGGCAGGGTCCTTGGGGGAAGGGGTGGACTGGTGGCAGGACCTGGGGCAGAGCAGGGGGTTGAGCAGTGAGCACCCCACAGCACATTGGAAAGTTAGCATCTGTAGCTCCAGCTTTGGAGTCAGTGCCTATGCAAGGAGCCGCATATTAACCTCTGAAGAGCTGCATGCAGCTCCGGAGCCATAGGTTGGCAACCCCTGCCACAGTCCTTTCCATGAACAAATGTTGAGTTGTTTATTTTTATTTTTTTCTCTTCTCCCCAGGATGAAAAGAATCAAGTTTTAACAACCAACATTTGGTTACAAATGGTAAGTTGTGAAACATAAAATCTCTGTTCAAATGCAGCTTTAAATGTGCTTCTCGTTTTCAACAAATATAAAACCCACATTCATGTTGCTTGCAAGTTTTTGTTCTTTGTTCTGAGACATACGGGATAGCTCTGAGGCAATACATCCTGTAGAATAGATGATTCTGGGTTTAAGGTTTTAGACTTTCAGGAGGAGGACTTCACATCATCTCATAGATACTTATACAATTGTATGGGTTGTATTGTTGTACCATATATGATGGATTTATAAACTCATATATTGCATTTGTTTCAGTCACTCTAAACACTAGATCACTGCAAGATATTGCAGTCCTAAGGGGTCCCGGGTAGTGATACTTACGGTATTGTACAAAATGCACCAATTGCAACAAATCTGGCACCTTTTCTTAAATCATATTTGATAGTGAAAGAGAACATGAAATACAATTTCACACATTTATATAAATATTTTGCCAACCTTGTTGATAGAGTGACTATTCTGAGACTCTCTATATGTTTCTTCTTTTGGAGGATGGGCTTATCCCAAAGGAGTTATTTATTCCTGTGGTTTGTTGCCATTCTCCTAAGGATATCAATCTTTCCATGTCTGCTACATTTGCTGTCTGTCTTCTTAAGAAACTGCAAGATGATTTTAATCAAATGCCTATGATTGCAAGTGATACCTAAAAGAAATTATTTATACATAGTACTGTGTGAAAAGTAACTGTGAAAAGAAAGGAATTATTTGGGTTAAATGTCCATAATTCTGAGATTTAGTTGCATGCAAAACACGGGTAATGGCAGACACTGTCTCCAGTTGCCTAATGTTCAGTTATGGGCACATTCATGCATTTTTCTTGTGCTCCTGTTTGTTTTGTGCATGTATGGTAAGGTGCACATTTTCCAAAATTTAGCCCTATCTTTAACTATGCTGCAATGACAAATTCTTGACACAGAACTCTTACCCTGCAGTTACCATTGAATACCAAATTCTCTACTGATGTAAATTGGTGGAAGTTAAATGATCGTAGTGAAGCTATGCTAACTTACACCATCGAAAAATTTCGTCCTATACAATCTAATTCTTGACGTTATGGGAACAGATGGCAAATGGGTTTCACTCATGTTTTGCCAATGGAAGATACAATGGAATTTTAAAAGGTAGCACCTTCTGAGGGGTTGTTTTTTTTTTAAATTTCACCAATGCCCATGCATGTTTACTTTGATTTGACTTGTAATATTTTCCCACAAGCTTGGCATTAATGTAGGCTTTGGACTGACTCATTCCAAGTTGGAGCCTATTGCAGTTTAATGGGCACGGGCTGACATTGAAAGAGCAAATGTAGGTGGATGAATGAAAGCAAGGAGAATTATTCACATGCTTTGGCACTTTCCTTTGGGCTTACATCACATCTCTGACATTTACAATTTTATATGGAAACAACACATAATTCCTTTCTGCTTCTACCACAGAGCTTGTGGGAACCACCTCCGCTCACAATGTACTATAACTGTGTGCTCAGTCCTTAATTGGGCAATGGATAACAAAAGAAGGTCAGATAGGAGAGGGAGATTGCAGTGTCTGGTTTTTAGCAGGGGAGACTATGAGCACCGATAGAGTACTTTGCTCCTGCTCACACATGCAGAACAGGATGCTTCTCCCTGGGCAGTACCTCCAATGGGAGAGAGCCCTCACGATTATTGTTTCTTGCTCTCCTGCCTGATGAGACAGGGTCTTCATACCACTAGATGGAGAGACTGCCATAGGTTGTCGGTGCTTCCTGAGACTGGGTCGGGGAGGAGATGGGGAGCTCTCCCTCCACTTTCAGCAGAGGGGATAGGAACTTTCCTTTCCTTTAACCGCTGCTTGTAACAGAGAACCTGAACTCATTGGGTTAAGTGGTAGTTTACAAAACAATTTTATTGTTCAGAACAACTGTGTTGTGTCAGCAGAAATTTGATCTCTTTTGTTTTAATCAAAATGATAAACTCACTCAGTTTAATTCTTTCTCTGTGAGTCCATCTTTTTCCTTTTACTATAACTTTTATAGAGTGCCTCTCTCATTCTGGCAGATCTTAGGATACAAAGGAAAGACAATTTTGGTAAGCTACTGAGGATAGTGTGGTTGCTACATCTGTTCACAAAGAGAGGCTGATGTGGAGGAAGCAGTCAGCTCATGCTGTTTACACAGTAGTTTTACAATAAGATTAAAACTGTCAAATATAATCTGTTTTCGGCTCTGAGTTACAGTGACATCAGTCACTGTGATTTCTAAACACAGGATAAGAAACAACAGTTCATTCTCCAAAGACTATAATTTACTTATTTTGTCTTTTATGTTTCTCTTCTTCCTGTTTCCTTATTTTTTTGTTTTTTTTTCTCCTAAGGGAATTCTTAATTCTTTTACACTGTCACATTAAGTTTCTTTTCATTCTTTTTCGAGTGATTGCTCATGTGTATTCCACAGTAGGTGTGCGTGCTCGCCACGTGCACCAATGCTGGAAGTTTTTCCCTTAGCAGTACCCGTAGCGGGGAGCACCGCTGCGACCCCTGGAGTGGCGCCTCTATGTCGCGCCATAAAGGGAGCTGCGTGCTCCCCCCACTCTCAGTGCCTTCTTGCCGCCAGTGAAGGTAGTCGGAACTTGTGCTCCAGCATTGCTGTAGCTTTCCTTAGTAGTACGATCTTCGACCGTTACTGGTCTCTACAGTTGGTAGCCTGGCTCGGGGCATGCCCCGAGCTCCAGGCTTCAAGTCATGCGACTCCTGTCGCAATTCCATGCCCAGAAGTGATCCACACTCTGAGTGTCTTCGCTGTCTGGGCGAGGCTCACATAAGTGAGCGCTGCAAAATCTGTAAGTCCTTCAAGCCCCAGACTAAGTGCGAACGTGAGATCCGTCTCCGGGCCATACTTATGGAGTCGGCACTGGCCCCGGCACCGGCGCGCCGAACTGACCCGGCGCCGGGCACTGCGTCTTCGGTGCAGAGCGATGCCCCATCCACCAGTCAGCACTGCTCCCCTGTTAAGAAGCAAGCCAAGATCCAGTGGCGCCGAGACAAGAACAGGGGTGAGGCCGGACCCGAGTTGGGCAGCCCACGATCCCCCTCGGGACCCAGACCTCCGACTCGTGTGGAGCGGAGTAGTCCGGCCCCGTCAGCGCGTGCCTCCCCGACGATGTGGATTCCGTCAATGCCGGAGGCAGCTCAGGCAGCGCGCGACATCCTCGTCCTGCCGGTACCGAGCGGGCTGCCCGAGTTGGGGCCCCTGTCCCGAGGGAAGCCACCGTTGGGTGCTCACCAGCCCTCACTGGCCAGGTTGGAGGTAGAGGTCTCTGCTTGATCCTCGGGGCCTTCCTGAAGCCCACGACAGACCTCCACTCCGTTGTCGGGGTCACCTGGGAGCGAGTCGCCGGAGTCCTCCTCGGCCCGCAGGAGCCGCAGATGCTGAGACAGGAAGCGTCGACGCTCCTCGTCCAGCCAAAGTGATAGTAGGTCTCGATGCCATTGGCACCGCCGACCGTATCACGGCACGCGCCATGCTCGGAGTGTATCCGGACTGTCACTGGCACCGAGGCGTCTTAGCTGCGGCCATCGACGGGACACCAGAGATAGCACCTCCGACGTCTATGTTTCATCGTCGTCGAGGTCTAAATCCCGGGGCCGGACCCTACGTGGACGGGACAGGTCGAGCCGCTCATACGGCACCGTGCGATCCTCGGCCACCTCTGCCTCGGCGCCCAGCCGTCCCTCCCCGGGCCGCACCGGCCCCCAGGAACGTATAACCCTGGTGGACCCCAGACGACTCAGTGGCAAGGGGCGCCATGGTAAGGACAGTGGTGCCAGTGGGCACCGTGGCCCTAGGCGCCCGTACCGCCGGGGGCCCGCTCCGTGGCTGGGGTATCCCAAGCCCACTCGGCATCCCCGCCTCGGCATCGAGACCAGTCTGCGGGGACCGTGCCACCGGTACCGCACCCAGACCAGGACGTGGAGTGCGACATACCGGCACCGACTGATGCCCTAGGGGCCGTCCCGGTCGTCCCATCGGCACCGGACGAGTCCATAGCGGCACCGCCCACCCCCTTCTCAGGAGGACTTCAAGGCGCACCAGGAGCTCCTCCGGCGGGTAGCCACCAACCTCCAGCTCCAGGCGGAGGAGATGGAGGAACCTTCAGACAACTTGTTTAATGTCCTCTCCTCCTCGGCACCGGGCCGTGTGGCATTACCACTTCACCAAGGCGTAGCCAACATTTCGATTCGACTATGGCAAACCCCGTCCTCTCTGCCGCCCATTTCCAAAAAGGCAGAACGGAAATACTTTGTGCCAACAAAGGGGCATGAGTACCTTTACACTCACCCTACCCCGAACTCATTGGTGGTAGAGTCAGTCAACGACCGTGAACGACACGGCCAGCCCGCACCAACCCCCAAGGACAAGGAGGCCAGGAGACTGGACACTTTTGAGAAAAAAGTTTATTCCTCTGCCAGTTTCCAGCTCAGGGTGGCAAACCATCAAGCACTCCTGAGCAGGTATGACTTCAACTTGTGGGCTCCTTGCCAAAATTCAAGCCCTCCCTCCAAGAGCACGACAGGAAGGAGTTCAGGGCTCTAGTTGCTGAGGGTGCGGCGGCAGCGAAAGCAGCTCTCCAGGCCGCCTCGGATGCTCTCCAGGCACCTCGTTCGATGGCTACGGCTATCTCCATGCGATGGGTGTCGTGGCTTTCCCTGTCAGGACTCTCACTCAAATCCCAGTCCTTAATGCAGGACCTGCCATTTGATGGCAAGGCGTTATTCGCGGACCAGACAGACACTTGTCTGCACGGGATGAAGGACTCCCGCACCACCCTTCAGACACTCGGTCTGTATGTCCCACCGGCCAAGGACAAGCCCAGACCGCAGCCCTTGGTTCCCCCTCCACGGGGCAGATACGAGCCCCCCCCCAAGAGGCCTAGGGACCTAGGGACCAAAGGCGCAGATCATAGCATCAGTCCCGCTCGGCCCCATGC